TATTAGGAAACTGTGTCTGCTGGGAGGTGCTGAGAGTCGAGAGTCAGAGGATGAACCACTTGACGATTTTCCAAACTAGGGCGTGAACCTGAGAAGAGTTGTAGGCGTACTATTGTAAGTCCTACAATTCTTCAAGGGGTAGTGCATCGGTGAGCATCCCGACGTGCTTAGAGTGTTGTTTTATACATATGTTCATGTTGTATATGTCGATTTGTTATAATCTGTCATCTATCTGTTGGTTAATTATATTTGTGCTCGGACATTTCTCCTCTTGGATCGTCAACCTGAGAAGGAATGTAGGCGTACTACTGTAAGTCCTACAGTTCTGCAAAGGTAGCTCGTCGAGGCGGAATCCACAACATTTGATGTATTGATTGTACGCAAATTTGTGCTCAAAAATTGTTGGTTTATTTATAGTTGTCGCATTGTGTGAATCATCTTGTAATGTTATTGTAAGTACTTCTGAAGTCGTTTCTAGTCTTCTAAACTTGTGAACGAAACGAGTAGTGTTAGAGTCAGTGTATGCTATTTGATACGCCGAGGAGAGGATTGTGCTAGAGTGATATGAAGCAACCAACACTTCGTGAACCAGATCAGTCGTGGTACTGTATACAGAGAGCGTAGATTCCACGCGCCGGGGAGAGCGTGTCGGTGTGCTTGTTGTGTGTTGGGCTTTTTTGTCTTGCTTTTCCATTTTAGCCTAGTCCTGTTTGGCCCAGGTTCTTGCATTGGCAGTTCAGTTCGAGGTTATCATAGCTATAGAAAAGAGGGATGGACCCATTTTTGCCAGGGAGTCTCAATGGGGATGAACAAAGAACGCTTGTTTCTGGAACTGGTAGCCATTGGTGGGCAATTCAAAGGCGCGAATGGTTCGATCGTGTACAAGTTTGATGAAGACGACCAAAAACGAATAAAGGTACTTCATAATTTTGCATGAAATATTTGTTTATAGACTTTTACTGTTCTCCGCTTTAATGGCCAAACAATATAACTTCCTTCTTACAATACTGGTGTTATGGAGTTAAAGTCGAAGAAAGTATATGGTTTTTATCGGTGCGGAGCGTCTTTGTAACAATAGGAAACTAGGGTTAGTTCCTTGACATGGCCCTTGGCGCTTTTGGAGCCATCTCCGTTTTCCGACTACCTTGCCCCGCTCATCTCACACTGATCAGTTCTCCAAGTGTCACATTCGACTCCCAGGAGCACTTAGCCATAGTACTTCAACGGTGGTATGAGACCAAGGGGATAATGGGAGGACACATCCGATGCTTCGAAAGCAGACCTCAAACCATAAACAGACTGCAAACTGAGGCCCCAATACGTCCCCAAGACTCAGTGACACTAGAGCAATGCGGTACTGAGAATAACAGCCTGTGTCACCCAAATGTTCAACCTGAACCCATGGTAGAAACTGCAACGGGCCAGTTCCATCGGAATCAGCCAACTAGTCCCAGCATTAAGTTGCCCACTAGCAGACAACATAACGTCAACTACCCCACAACACGCTGAGTTTGTGAGACTCACTGCTAGCTGCCTATATAGCAATGTGAGAGGACTGAGAGGAAAAGTAGGCGAACTCGAAAATCTCAAGTCACACATACACCTTAAAATAATCATTCCCACAAAAACCAGATAACACCCACTATCGCCGACAACGAAATCAGTATAGGTGATGTGGTTCTGGTCAGGAGAGACAGGGATAATAAGGTAGGGGGTTGCTATATACTTTGGCAATCAACTTAAATGTGTACGCGCAAAGGACCCACCACTTATTGAATTCCCACGCTCCATAAGGTGTCGTTTCACCGTAGGCCACACCAAGCATTTACTGGGTGGTATCTATCGATCACCCACCCGTGGGCCATATCACAGCCAGCTTCTGCCCAGCACCACCACAGGGATACGGGATTTGGGGTGTGACCAAATCACCATAGCTGGAGAGTTCAATGCCCCATCTCTGAACATTGGATTGGGGTATGCTCAGGGAAAATTCGGTCGAAATCCGCTGCAAACCATTCGAAATACAGGACTGACTGAGAATGTTGGAGGCGACGCTATTGGAAAGTCGTCGAAACTAGATTACATTCTAACTAGTGAACAAATACTCGTCGAAAAGGTCCGGATCATGATTCCTCTAGGAAGTAGTGATATGCAGTCATAGGTTTCGATCTTGTTCTCCGTGAGCACTTGCAGTGGGGCGTTACGCGACCATGTCTTTGCCATAGCAAGGCGGACTGTGTTGAAATGCGGAGGCTTTTGTGTGACTCAGATTGCCCCTTAGCATAGGATGACTTATCTGTGGATGAACACTGGGAAGTGGCAAGTAAGATTATTCATATAGCAATCTCGGATACCGTCCCTTTAGTCACAACACAGCCCAAAAGAAAGTCATCATGGCTGAAGAGAGATGCGCAAAGTATTCTGCAAGCAAAGCGGAAGGTTTGGTTTACGTGGCGAGTGTCCAAGGGTCAGACTGACCACGACGCATACGTGGAACTCAGGAACCGGTGCGACGCGAGAGTCAGGAGGGACAAGAGGTCATTCCAGGCTAAATTTGACAAAACATCCCAGCAAACGTCAAAAACTTGCGTCAATTCATGTCAGAAAGAAAACTGACAAACCATGGGGTACGAGCATTAGTGGGTCCAAACGTACAATACCTCACTAGTTTGGAGATGGCTAAAACATTAATTTCAGACTTCACCAAACAGTTAAACAACAATGTGGGTATTAACGGCACGGTCCAAAATGGTGACACTGCCATTTCACCGGAGGAAGACATAGTGGCTGCTCCTCAAATAAATAGTACTAGGGGAGCTACAAGAACTCGCACCTGGGAAGTCCCCAGGTTGTGACGACATCAGGCCATCTGTTCTGGAACAGTGAGACGTAGCTATTTGTAGGCCCTTATGTGACTTGTTCCAACACTCAATGGATTTGGGGAAACTGCTAAGGGAGTGAGAAAGAGCCATCCTTTCTCCGATTTTCAAGGGTGGCGACAGGCGAAGTGCCACTAGTTATAGACCAGTAGCTCTATTCCCATTGGTATCAAAAGTACTGGAAAGTATTATTAACGACCACATCAGGGATTACCCCGATTGGCCTAATATACACCATGAAGCCCAACACAGTTTCAGGAAAGGCAGATCGTGTGTAACAAGCCTGCTATCAGCTTGGAACGATTGGACATCATGCTGGGATATGAATCTTATAGTCCATGTGGCCTTCCTATTCTTTGAGAAGGCATTTGACACAGTTCCCCATGACTTTCTTCTACACAGAATAGGTCAGGTAGGTATAGGCAAGCCACTTCTGTCATGGTTAAGGGACTACCTAGCTGAAAGGTAACTTTGTACTAAGGTCAATCGAGTCCGATCATCTTGGCACAGCTCGTCATCAGGAGTGTCGCGGGGTTCTATCCAGGATCACTGATGTTTTTGATTTTTATCAATGACTTACCATGCCGTCCAAGCTTCCCGACTCTTCTATACGCCGACAAAATGAAGATATGGAGGGCGATAAAGTGTCCGGAGGGATCTGATAGGCAGCAGGCAGAGCTAAATATTCTGGAAGACTATGAGGTGGTCAATGGCATGACCTTAAACTTGAAAATGTTTAAAGTATTGAAATTACTCACATGCAGACTGTGGAATGCAAGTTACAACCTGTGCAACGAAAGCTTGTCCTGCACAACAACGGAGCGTGAGTTAAGTCCAGTTCTGACGGAAAAAACGGACACAAGCGTAAATCACACGGGGGATGTAGCGAGGGCATATGCGGTCATACACTTTACACATAGACAGTTAAGTGAACTCACTCCTGATTTCTTTTTAAGGCTGTACAAAGCATATGTCAGACCACACCTTAAAGTGCGTAATTTATTGAACCCTCACTGCTTAGAAGAGACGCCAACCTCTTGGAAAGAGTCCAAAGACGGGCAACAAAAGGAGTGGTTGGTCGCCGAAATAAACCATATGATGAAAGGCTGAAGAAATTAGACCTGTTCACACTTACCTACCGTCGGCTTAGGGTGGATTTGATTACTGCCTACAAAATAACAAATGACCAGAATCACCCAAACAAAGGTGTTCTGCCATTGAGTAGGTATAGGTTTCCTCGTGGAAATCCCAGAATTATACCTCTCCACAGGGCAAGGACCCGGGTGCGCCATCACTTTTTTCACTGCAGGTTTGCCGTCCCTGGAATTCCTTACCGGCAGATGTAGCTATGCAACCGTCTGTGAACGCCTTTAAGTCACACAAGGAATGCGTCCAAATGGCCTCTCCCCTTGAAGTCCCATACATCATTCAGGGGTATACAACTAAGTTCGTCGTTTTACTTCCTTACATTCTCTCCAGTCTTACTCCCCTGACAACTCTAACTACACTTACTATTATTATTACTGATATATATATATACATATATATATACATATATATATATATATATATATCAACTTCAAATTTAGTCAGCTGTCTGTTATACGTTTTGTTTATTTCTTTTTCTGTCTGTTAGTCTGAATAAATTCACTAATTATATCTATTATTACAATTATTATTGTCTCCCTTTTTTGATGTCGATACCGCAGGATTAACTGGTGAAAGGATCATCTCCGTCCACACACCTTACACTACGAACCATATATGATTAATCCCAGCACTACTCTTTTCGGAGCCAACCAAAGCTACGACGGTCGGGCGGCGGATGAGCTACGCAGGATTTTACTGAAGATGAAAGAACATATACCTCACAATCAAGAGGCGAGCATAAAGAAATCAAATTGGTTTATACTAGCTCGTAGAAACGATATTGGATCATCTGCACCTTGAGACTTATTCTCCACATAGCATTGTAAACTAGTAAAATTCCCTTCTAAATCACACAGTTTTAGGAATAATACAGATGGAAATTACACCAGTTCTGAAAACACGAATGTCATTGGAGTTTGTTAGTTCGCACCAGGGTCCATAAATGATTTGAAAAAGCACTAATTCAACACACTGCTACCAGCAACCGATCGAACACCGTAAGTTGACTTATTTATCGGCAAACTATGATGAATTTGGTAAACCATGCTTAAGTTGGCAAAAAATTGTAGTGAAGTTACAATATGTCAACCACTCCAGTACACGGACTGGGATAGTCAGGTAGATTCTCATGCGTTGATAAAACTCAGTGGGATGGAAATAAATCGTCGCATATTATTATAGAGACGGGGCTGGTCTCTAGTATAATTTTGATTCTGATTTTCTGCTTTGTGTAAAGAGTGAGATGTTGAAGTGGTCAAATGTGTCGTTTCGTATAAGTATTACAGCTGTAACAAACAATTGTCTTCTTCAGTATATCATAATTTTCGGTACTCACGTAACACAAATATACATTTTTGTGGTATTTAGAGTAAACATGGGATAAGATAACGTTTGAATCCACGACCTTTTGAAGGGGTATGCCGCTTTGGATAAATAGTGGTATTCCGATGCATTTGCGCGAAATCGTCCTAAACTTGAGTATCTTTTATTTATGTGAGGTATGTATCGCTAACCTAACTTGTGAATTATCAATAACGTTTGGACGGATATTAGAAGTAAGAATCGCTTCGCCCTCATACTAAACACAGTCATTCTGACATGGTTTGAATATCATTCATGTAAGTAATATTTCTTTTCCATAAGGAATAATCATGAGGTAACATATTCTGTCACAAAGGTGTCGTTACGCTCAACTTGAAGAATGATTCTTCCCACAGATAGACTGGAAGATTTCCTTTAATTTTACCATTCAGTTAGCCTAAGCAGCCTCCCACTAACTAGTTCATCTTCAAGTGTGAATCTGCCGGTGGTTCTCCACTTAACATAATCTGAGAGTCTATTCCTCACTTGTAAAACGGTGGTCTTTTTCTTAAAGCTATTTAAGTCTGATCTCAACACAACTAGCTTACAGTTTGAAACCTGTAAGTTTGTGGCAATCGACAGAGGAGGGAATACAATCTGGAAACATGGGCACATGCGCGCCGATGGAGCCTGTCTAAACAGCTGACAAATTTGTGGTGCATTCTGGAAAGGCGCTGGTATGATTTGTTGAGTAATATGTGTTACATTCGTCAGAAGAATTCTGATAGGGGAATGCGGGCCCATATTAAAGACATTATGTCAGCATTATACTTGTCTCTGTAACGTCATCTTAAATTTGAGTTGTTGGACACACTTGAGTGTGTAGACATCCTGAAATAAGCTTCGTAATCCAGTTTTGAAAGGCGGGTTTTCACACAGTTAATCTGAGTACAAACATTCTTAAATATTCTTTTTCCTACTGAAATTCATTAGTCTATAATGATAGCTGTAGTAGTAACAGTTGTTGTCTCCAGTTTTTCTCTTAAGTTCATCTTCTGATTATTTTTAGCTTCATCTCGACTTTTACTCCCCAGTTCTTTGTTGACTGACTTTCATGAGTTAACTGTGTAACTACTGATCAGTTCAAGTTATTTATTCCCTTCTTAATTATCTGTATCTGTATGACATGCCTAAACTTTTTACCATTATGTTACTATTCCCCTTTTTGTCTGAATATTATTTGCTGTGAACCTGGATAGTCAGCTCTAGGCAGTAAAGTTTTTCACTCCAGTGCTTTTCTTAATATGCCAGTTGTGTATACCTTCTGATTACTGAGGACTAATTTTTCTGTAGAAGGGGGCTGAGACCGTCTAAGTCTTTACATGATGATTAGGATAACGCAAAGCATCTTTTCAGTCAATCGAGTTATCTTAGTTTTTATTTCAGAGACTAGTTTCTTGTCCTGGATGTTAGTGAATTCCCAGACTTTATAGATTGCATTTGTGCACTAAGGCTCCATAGGTATGTTTTCATGTAAGATTTAGGTCTCATATGTGCACTTTATGTGAAACAGACTTATTTTCTACTAGAAGGAGGTTTGAAATTAGATTGTTTACTGGACACACCGAACGGTGACATTACATTATTTACTGCTTTTCTCGCCTGAAGTCCACGTGTAAGCCTGTCTGATTCACCGGACACCAAGCATTGGCTTTAATATTGCTTTCAAATTTAATTTATCAAAGGACGTGCGATAATGCATATATTTAGTCGGTATTTCCGTAAATTCTACTTCAGCAGAACTGTTGTTTAGAAAATTTGCATGATATTTTGTATGTTTATCCTATGATAATGTGTTAAAAATCCTATCCCAATTCATTAGGCCCCATACTACATAGTGTTACGTTTAGTGATAGACGGGTCTCCGTGGTCTTTACTTCACTTTCCTTTAACCCATATTGACCGCCATGCATTTATTTTGGTTTAATTTTTCAGTTAAAAAGTACGGTTTATTCTTCGTAATCAACTGTATTAGACGACAATTTCAAAGTAATGATCATTTTGGATGAACATATTTATTCTGTTAATAGTATTTTGTAGCATCTATCAAGATTCCCCTGGTGCTTTCATAAGAAACAAAGTAAAGTTTGAAATATTTTTGATCTACTCACATTTGTGGAGATAGATGTGACAGTATCATAAAATTCTGAGGTGTGCGCAGATCCCAGGCCAAAATCAGACTGAAATTGCTCCACACTTGAAAATACTGCCTTATTTTCCAGTACCAGTGTTCAGCGGTTCGAAAGGAATTCAACTATCTAGCACATCTAAATAGTAAAAAATAAATTCTGATTTTGAGAATTTAAGAGGGAGTAATACAAGTTTAATATATCTTAAGATGAATACACATAATACACAAGATATGTTGGCTACCGATGACCAGGCCACTGTATTTCATATTAATCAGTGCTTTGGTAATTTTTTAAATACTAATGCAACAGAATGCACACCAATTTTGGAAATTTGTGACTGCCAGCACCAGAATACGAATTCTTATGCACATAGCACTTTAAACTCAATAGACGGACAATATTTGGTGGACAAATCGGAGAAACTCAGGCCAAAGAAGAGTAGTCAAAGAAACACACACATTTGTCGTCAAAATGTAAGCTGTGTCAATCGACGTACGAAACGTGGTCATGGAATACTTAAAGAAGTTAGCGAATTCGAATCAACTTTATCTTCAGAGCAGCTTCGATCAAATAATTTCATAGATCTTTCGTTTACTAACCTAGACTACTTTATCACACAGAAGGAATGGGCAAAGATTTTGATAGACCATTTAAAACCTAATATTAAAAATATCCTTTCAATCACAATGCAGACCAGAGCAAATGGTAACACTTTGGCTTTTATTAGAGTTGGTAGTGTTAAAGATGCTCGTTTCGCGATCTCTCGCTTTCATCAGAAAAGGATTGGATTTAGGCGAATTCGGGTTAGTATTTTGGATCCAAATCGAGTATATAACAACAATAGTTTAAGGCTTGATGTGATTTCACTCTTACGTACAGCTTTCGGATATTCTTTACCTCTTTGTAAATTTATTGAGCGATTCGAGAAACGATTTCATCGAGAGATAAGTGCATCAGACTTACAGAGGATGCGAGATATTGTTGAATTCAAGGAAAGTCCAGGAAGTATTGGTGACCATTCAGTGACTTTAAATAAACGAGCTATGGAAATTAATGGACTCCAGGTAAGATAATATCTTACTTCTTCAGCATAAAATTATTTTTCTCATCAGTAATCGTAAGCATCAGACATCTTAGGAGTACTAGGACTTATTTGGATACTAGGCAGTAACTAGTGTAATGCATCTTGCCATTCGTTTGGTTCAGACTGAATTTTGTCAGTCAATTTCGCACTGTGATTCACCATCACGGTACACCAAGATATATATGTATAATTGATTTTCGTCCACTGTATCATCACTCACATATGCGAATGATTTTAAAAAGCAGCGTTTCAAGTTCGCCTGGCAGTTATTAGTCCAAAATTTACCACAACAGATGGTTCTCGTAGTCTTCAGCCATTGAACATCTACGTATTTTTATCTTTTGTTAGCAGTATTCACGTGTACTAAAGTTGCCACTTATTTAGTATGGCTAGTTATGAATCAGTCCAGCTCCATACTGTCATGCCAGACACATGCGTCGGTAGCACAGCGGCTAGGACGCTTGCCGACCATGAGCATGGTATGATCAAGCTGTAATCAAAAAAAGAAAAGGGTTGGATCCTCGGCCGACACACATGATATCCACGGTCAGCCTGCTAAATTTGGGCTAGCGATATCACATGCTGAAAATTCCATACTTGTATCAAAAATACTGTGTGGAGTCAAGCTATAATAATAATAATAAATATAAGTCATGTAAAGAAGTTTGTCATATTATGTAGCCAGCGTTCAATTTCACAGCTGTGAAAGCTGATACCTGAATTGCCAGTTGCTATCCTTAGGTTTGTATCTGCTGACAAAAGCAATTTATCCGACACTGAAATTCTTTTCACAATCATTAAGTCTCAATGTGGTTTTGACATTTGAAGTTGATTACCCCTTCTAATCGGATGAATGCGATTTTGTGTTCGCTTGCGTTTATTGTTTAGATGCCTAATGAGCCTGTAGTGTGTAGACAGCACTGTTTCGAAGGAAGTGAAGATTATATTCGTGCAACGGCCCGTTGTTTGTTGCCCTCCATCAATATTCACCTAAACTCATTTCGAGAACAAATAGTGAAACTTCTACACAATCATGGCGATTGCATGCCACTGATGAGCTTCCCTGCCTGTTATAAATCAGAATTCGGTGACTCAGCCATTATATATTCTGACGACACACGTGACAAACCAGAAGTTGACAGTGGCCCAGCTGGTCCCAGTAATTCGGGAGGGATTATGGACAATGACGATTCCAGCAGTTTCCTAAAAATTTCTGAAAGTGAAAAGTTGGTAACTTCTACTCATTCAGATGAAGTTGTCCTTCTGAACAAATATTCTGTCAAGATGACTGGTGATCAGCAGTATAGGTCATCATCAAAACAATATTATAACAGACAAGGTGTGCCTCTTGAACATCTTATCACCTGTGTGTCTTCAGTCATTATTCGCACCGAATCAAATGGAGAGAGATACATTGTCTATGATCCGAACTATGAAATAGGTAGGTAAAGTTAGTAGTTTGTGCTTTAATTTATACACTGTTTCTGTTTCAGCAGAAAACTTTCCGGTATGGATTCTGGTTGGAAAATACGGGGTACAAACCATATTTGAACCATACCGATCAAATTTTTCACTTTTTCTCTTTGTTTACGAACAAATTACTGTATATTTTGTCCATCTTAAGAATTGTTAGTCTGCTTTGGAAACTGAATTACGCCTCATTTCACAAGATTTATGTTTCAGCTAAGAATGGGTTACCTGGACTTGGTAGTCAAGTTCACATATCTCGTCTATCCGACACGTCCACAGGTTAATATCCACACCAGGTCTACCCTGTGTCTGCTCACACTAGCTGGTAAGATATTCTAGCAAAAGACTATCTGTAATCCTTGCTTTTGTTGACAAGTTGATACATACTGGAAAACGTACTTTATGGTGTGTAATTTGGCGAGACTAATTCCGTCTACATTTTGGGAAATCCAAGAAGAAGTCAAATTCCTCGGTGTGTGTGTGCGTGTATGTCTACACACTTTCATCTACCTACAAAACTTGAACAACAAGCATGTTTGACCAAAACTCTTAAATGTCGCTATGTGGATTTATTACTCATCTTTGAGATGCATACGAGGTTCAAATGTAGTCGATCTCTTTAATTTACCTAATCCATTCGGTGAATCTTCAAAATGACCTCTGTGCTTTATAAAAAATTCTCCAGCTAGTTCCGACGAACTTGCAGGTTTAGAGCTAACACTAGACCACAAATCTTTTCGGTTTTTAGTGCAGTGACGTGTGTCTTTTGTCGTATGGAGTCCAGTCTCAAGTAGGAAGAAACTGAAGTGTTGAACTCCTTTACTGGTGACTAAGAAGCATATTAATTGAGATCTTATAATATACAATGCTCAAGTATCTGTGGGACGTTGCATGCTCACAGAGTGGTAATTCACTTCTGTATACGAAAAGCAGGAACGATGTAAAGAATTCAGTCAATTTGCTTGCTTAACCGTTAGTTTATCGGTCATCAGTTGTCCTTGTTGAAAATAGCAACATTTTGATCACTTAGAACTAATAACTATGAATCTCATAATTTATTTTTTAGGAGTTATGAATTTTGGTCACTCTGTCAGCTTACCGAGTTCGCTGCCGCAGAGTCGTGAGAGTCTGCAGTCAGGTACCGTTTTTGACAATCTCAAACAACTCAGCCGGGAATTGGTTGAACTAATAAGGCATCAGCCAAGATGTCGAATGCTGTTGAGTAAATTTATACCAAGTTATCACCACCACTTTGGCAAACAATGCCGTATAGCTGATTATGGCTTTTCGAAATTGCGCGAGCTGATGAACGCTTTGCCTAATGTTGTTCACATTATGGGTTCGGGTAATATGAGGATGTTGACATTATCTCACCGTGTGCAAATTAGACGGTTCACCAACGAACTGATCAAGGTGCTTAAATCTCAGTCAACAAAGTCTTGTCGTTTATCTGACTATCCGATAATGTATAAACGCACTTACCGCAAAGTAAGTTACTTAATTATAAAATGTTTCTCCTTGGTTGTTAATAATCTGCTGAAGACGCACTTCATAATTGACACCAGAAGACTTGAAGTATGGCGATAACCAAGTTCCCTGTCAGACATCGTCAAAGGGGAAATTTACAATGTTCTTGCGCATTCACCCTAGCATAGAGTCGGTCCCCATTTACAGATGGTTCATACAGGACAAGGCCGAAATAAGTGGTGGTGAGCATCAACACTGAGTTGCGCTCACCCATACACTACAAGTGGATTTCTATAGATTTATCTTCGAGACACTTTTGTACTGTTTCTTCAACAACTTCATGCAATTTTCTCTATTGAAAGAAATCTGTAATCGAGTACACTGGAGACCTACACCTTATTTCTCAACTGAAGAAAGAAACTTGTGGCTTTGGCCATACTGTGAATAAAAAGAATTTGATCTGTATAATCAGGTCTGTCAGTTACGCCTGAGAGGTTCGCGCCGAAACAAGGAGAAAATCTGAGAAAACTCTGTTGGACTCCGTTAAGGGAAAATCATGTGCAGGTATTCCGGGGAATCCCGAAAACTTCGTATTCAACTTGTCAACTGAAGTCATAAGCTGAGGCAGATAGAAAGATAAGTGCTTTCACTAGGATTCAGGTTCTACATTCCAACGAAATTTACCAGAAAAATTGACGTTGAAACCCAACTCGAAAGTGTGCATCATCAACCGTCTGCATTGAAAGCAGTGGATGGCGAGAGACAAGGTTGGTTTAAGTCTCGACTTACCGATATTGTTAGTCAATATCGTAGATCACCAAATCTACATTATGCAGTTTTATCGAAAGATCACCCTGGTGCATTTATCGTTCTAGCTTTGTTCACGAATTCATACTGTGTCCTGCAGGAGACAAATTAAAGCATAGGATAGTTGACTGTGACTTCTTTACTAAAGTGGATCCACAAAGCTCACTGACAGTTAGTGAATCTTGCACTCTACAAATTACACAGTCCGAGCTGGAGTTTCACCAGAGTTTCCTTTGGAAACCGAAATTACTGAGGTCAAGTTAGGCAACCTGCTTGATATCACAAATTGCAATCTAGAAAGGAAGTATAGGTGTGTAACGGTGCACACTACTGGTTTATATGGGTGCCTACCAATCAGACTGAAGTGATCTAGATAGTGGACGGCCATGTCGCTGTCGTGGGTCAAAGCTCATCAGCGATGTGAGCTGAAACAGCCAAATCAGTTCAAACCACCGGGGTACCATAATGACTTTACTTTCGCTTTCTCAACTGCTACTATTGATATCAAGGAGATAACATATCGTGAACTGCATAATTTCGGTTTCCATAGGGGACTGCAGCGAAATTTCACCTTGGAGTTTGAAATTTGCAAACCGTAAATTTGACCAACAGCTACTGATCCTCCTGTATTCAGTTAAGTGAAGGAGTCACCAGTTCTCACAAGAAGCCAGACATAACTGTGGATGTGGTTGAATTGATATGGCTCTCTGAACTACTAAACACTGCTGGCTGATGTGAATGGCATCAAAATAAGTGTATGCAGTCATCCTTGTCACAGTTGAAAAATGTCTCGTCGACGCGTTTTACCAAAACAGTGGAGCGTCTGGTGAAGTTTTGAATAATCTATTTGCTTAGCAGTTCAGATATTGAATAGCCCTATGATAGTCGTTTCTAAAGGGTTCCCACAAGGATAGGACAGTTTACAAAATTGAGTGTGTCATAATTACCGACGATGAGCATCCATGTGAACTTTAAGAAAGCAGTCAATTATAGCTCATTTGCTCCAGATTACTTTTCGCCTATTAATGTTTCTCTGTTTAACAATTCACCTCTCTATTATTGCACAATCATCACTGGTATTTCATTCTATATTTGTTAACAATTTCAATTGTTCACCATCTTCATAACTAGATATACTTACTACCTTTTAGGAAAAATACTCACACTGTATTCATTCCATCTTGTCTCAGTAATGTCGCATTATTATTTATTTATTATCATTTTTAGTCTTTATTATGTATTTCACAACTACTTTTCTTATATTGTGGTTATTCCAACTGATTTCAGTTAACTTGAAGAACACATCAGCCTCTGTTAATCTCACTTAAAATGTTATCATCATTCTCATTATAGTATTATTATTATTATTATTACTGTTTTGATTATCTCTCACTTTGCATATTTCATTATACTCTCTGATTGACTTCATGCATTGGTTTGGTTTCTTCTCTTTAGTGTGATCAGTCATGCACGGTTTGCGTACATTGTAGTTATGATAATAACTAACGTTTATATCGACGCCTTTTCTCCAAATGACTTCAGCATCTTTTCTCATACTAAATGCTTTCACAATTTCAAAGCTGTATTCTAATCAGGTAGTGAATATGTTTGATGAAATGTTACCGACATATACTAGCTATTATTTACCAATCACATCTGTTGAATCTTATTTTTCTAAAATAGGAATTCTGTATAACAGATTATGGTGTCTGTTATCTTACTGATATGCTGTCGGAACTGTCTGATAATGTTGTGAAAGTAACTGGTTCGGGTTCGGACACAGTTGTGTCATTACCAAAAATCGTACAAACCAGTGAGGAAAGGTATCGCACCTTAATGTTTGCGGATGAAGTGGTCGATCTTCTCAGTGAAAGACCTCGTTGCCGACTGCCTATTAGTAAATTTATTCCATCGTATCACCATCATTTTAGTCGACAGTGTCGAGTATCTGACTATGGCTTCACAAAACTAGCAGACCTTCTGGAGGCGATTTCCAACGTAATCCAGGTAGAAAGTTTATTTAGTTTACTAAATTTTTGAATTTTTATATGCATCCTCATTCATACGACTCGAATGCATGTTAAAAATGTTTTTTCTTCTTCGTTTTTGTTCTCAGTGGGACATAGGACTTCAAGCTGAAGCTTTGGAGTTTCACTAGCAGTGGTGTTTACGGTGTTTACAGAGTGGAGTTGCTAGCCTGCTTCATGCCCAACCTTTCCTCTGTACCGGTCCTGTTACCGGCTTGTCGACGTGAATGAGTGAGTTAGCTGGGGATCGAACCCTGAACGCATGAGTAGGCGTGGTTGGGGAGATTTCTACCGCTAAGCTATCAAAGTATACGACTCGAATGTAGATGTGTTTATTATTTCAGCTTAGTATTCACAACACGATCTCAGAGATAGGAATTTGATTTTTTAAAAGACTCACTTTTATTAGGATGATGGTGGATAAATAATGGCTTTTCTGTAAACTCTTTCTCATATATGTGTTATAGTAAAACAGGGGCTGACATTCACCTAAGTGACTTTTAATGAGATCCAACTATACGTTAAGTATGAATTGTACGACCCAGATTGTAACTCTTCACACAGTCACATAACATTCTAGGTGGTTATGAAAGTCGTATGATTTTTAAATTACGGAAAATTCCCATCCAAACATGAATATGCGAACAAAACAGTTCAGCGAAGAGTCTCTTTTCGGCCGCAAATTCATTCACTTAGCTGTATATACGTATATAATTATTTGTGTGTGTGTGTGTGTGTGCGTACATTAGGTTTGTCGGAAAAGAAAAGAAATTAGTTAGGGTTATTGTTTACTTCATCAAACTATAAATGGTGGACGAGGGCGGAGATAAGTAAGCACTGACAAGTGTCAGGTAGTATGAAAGACACACAGAAAAAAGGATGTTAGTGAAAGAACTTGGAGATGAGTGTCCAAAATAAATTATGTAATTGGTAGATGGAGTAAATACAGAGTTAGTTAAGAAAACGAAGTTCCTAAAATGCTATACAAAAATCCACAAATAGTACTGGTAACACAGTAGTCGAACCTGGAACTATACCGAGGGTAGAAGGAGAGGATGGAGAATTTTACTCTGTGTGCACAAATCAGGGTTTTCCATCCGACTTGCTAAGGTCTCGAGTATTCAAAGTGTACGGAAGCTTTCCGTTTTCACGAGGCTTCTTTTGACTTTTTGGACGACTTTGAATGAATTCTGTTTACATATTGAGTGACCAGTGTTGAATATGTGTTCACTTAGAGCGCTCCTTATTGATCCACTGTTACCTTTACGTAGCCAAGCGGGATAGTGTTTTCTGATTCTTATAGATGAAACACGCATCGAATGACCCTGTATATCTTGCTCCACATGAGCAAGTGAATTCATAGACACACAATGAAGTGGAAAAAAGAAACTCTTCGCTGAATTATTCGTTTTGTAGTCGTGTGGTTATCGATTTTCAAACATTGCAGTCGAAATTATTGTCATCTCTAAAAGACAGTGTTTCAACCAACTTGACCAGTTGGTTGTTAAACACTGTTGACAGGAAGCTTACACGGTTAGTGTCCACTTCTTCTAGCTGAGCACTTTTACCAATCATCCATCTAGGTGAATGGAGTCCGAAGTTATTTAGAGCAATCAGAGACGATCAGAGATGATTATGAAATCGAATTTCTCTGGGTTGACGTCATAAAGAATAGACGTCAGAAATTCTGACGGATGTAAAAAGTTTCACATCTGGCATCCTTACTCTCTCATAGGCTTTCAAATGAAACGGAATGTTAGCCAGATTCTTTGCACTTAGCCTTATCTAGAGATGACTAAGATTCAGAGTCAAGTTAGCAGTTTAAGTAACAGTGAACATAGTGTATAATACGTTTATTATCGGAGTGCATGGTGATGGTAATGTCTTATTGTACATTGAGATTTTATTGTTCTCCGTTCTACTGTTCAACTATAAGCCACGAAGTTCAAAGGTACAAAAGCCAGGGAGACCTCATGGATTGCATTATCACTAGAAAAGTAGTATTCCTCAGTTTCCGTGTGAACGCAGCATTGGCAAAAGTGAAATGTTATCTCATGGTGAAATGCTCGTCAAGTATGGGGTAGGTCTAGCTGACGCCCTCTTAGACCTCTCCAGGCTGGTAGTAAGCCTGTAATAGGTGAATGGCTAGGCTTCCGACTAGCTCCTCCACCAACAGAAACAACACTGTCGTTACTGAGACGTTAATTGTCGAAGTATTGAGCTCTGTTTTGTGCTCGGAAGGCAAGAAATGGAAGAGATCTTGTCATTTAGTGTTACCTCGATTTAGAAGGCTTGTTCTAATTCACTCACTCGCTATTTGTTAGCGTCATAAGACATGTATGATGGTGATAATGATAATAATAATAACAATGTGATTATTGCAAACAGTAATATCTGATATTATGTGGAATTGTCTGTGTGTAGTACAGTATCGCTTGTAATTTTCTTTTATGTTATATAGTAAGGGGAGAGTTATTCCGTGGGCTAGTGTATTTTTCCCACGTACTGCATATACATACATACATGCCTTCAAATTGAAACGAAGTATCGTCTCTTAATACTTTCAAGATATTTAAAGTGTATGCTTACTTTGACAGATTAAAGAAGAAAATAAAGAAAAATATATCAGCCTTCTGCCTGAAAAACACTTGCAAATTTTCGCGGAAAAACTTCTGGTCCTTCTGGAAGCGTCACCAGACAGAAGAATACCTATCAATGATCTGACAGATGTGTATGCAAGACATCACGGTTATGCTTTGTGTTTGGAGGATTTCAACGTGTTCTCATTGAAAGAGTTATTATCCAAGTTTCCACATCTATTCTATACTGAGGTAACCATTCACAAGAAATACAGAATACATCGAAACTGTCATCAGAAGATACACTAACTGAAAATATTGGAGGTGTCGAGCAACAGACCGGACGGAATCAAGGTAGTGGTCAAGTAGCAGATACGAAAGTGGGAAATACTGCAGCCATTGATTACCCCACTTCGAATTACAATGCTATTGAATATGTGTGCTTAGTTGATCGAACAGTGATCAAACATCTAGCACACAGGGTTATTTTTATATTGCAACAATATCAGCTAGGAGCTACGTCTCTTCTGTCGTTTTACGTACTGTTCCAATATCAGTTTAGAAATGAACCTATGTTGGATGTAATATTTGAAGAATTGGAAAGTATTGTGGAGGTAAGGCAAATTTTAACTCCACTAGACTGATTGGTTTATGTGGTTATGTCAGTTGATTTCTCACTGTCTTGTGAAGTTAGTATTAGAATTCTTGTAGAAGAAGTACGTATCTAATTTGACCTGGTTAACCACATCTAAGTGTGGAAGCGATGTCACGAAATAACTGAATTTGGATACACCGACTGTCAGTCTCCTGAGGAAAGTTAGCTGCGATAGAGGGGTGGGAAATCGGGGTAGAAGCAGTTTTCCTTTATTTTCCATTATGCAAAGGTGATCATAAATGCATTAAGGAGATACGTGAAACAGTCCGTTTATGTGGTTGCTCCTTTGAAGATAACTGCGTTAAAAACTATTCTATAGATGTATAGCTTGATGATGGTAATTAGTGAACAGTGAACCGTACACGTAACATCTTCCTCAGGTTCCACGGTTAGGATTAGAGTATGTAAAAATGTATGCGTGAGATATGCACTACTTATTCCCATCTGAGCATTAGTTACACTGAGATTGATTTACATGTGTTTTGTAATCTGAGAGAGGTGAAATTACTTTACTATAGAGTACACGATAGCATTGAAAGACGTGCAAACACAGTGATAATACTGTTGTTTTTAGACCAGAATATGTAAACAGTCAACTATTGGCGTATGAAATGAGGCGTTTGTCTGAAATATTCAGTTAACCTAGTTCTTGTAAAATTTGGGAAGAATCCCTAAAAGCATGAACTGCTGACATTTTTCGAACTGGCTCTAACCGTTGTTGTGACCATCTCTCCAGCACAGGCTAGCACTGCGAAACATGCGAAACAATGACAAAAGTTACTTTAGAACAGGAGTTGAATTGATTTGAAAAGAGTTTTCAGTGAATAGATTTCAAACCAAACTTTGTATACAGAAAGATAGTGTGTGTGTGTGTTCTTTCTTACATTCTGAATTCTGTTGGGTAACATTTCACTTAATTTTGATTTTCACTCAGTGAGTTCAACTCACTACTAATTTATCAAATTTGCTTATATTTGCCTGCGTGTGTGTGTGTCTGTCATAATTTTGCCTTTAGCTTCCTTCATATTATTTATAACATCAACTCTGCTCTTCGACCTTGTTCACTGGGTCGAATCGATTCTGTTTCTTGACAAAATCTGAACTCTGCTCCCACTCTTGTCTAACAATACAATACAATAAACAGTTGACCTTTTAACACTGAATAATTTGTCTACTTGCATCATTTCAGAATTATATTACACAAAATTTCTATGCATAACCTGAAGTCGTTATGAAAAAGATGGATTCAGTAATTTTGTAACTTATACTTTGATACTGTTTAGAATGTAGGCATTCGAAAATAACCGATGAGATGAAATGTGCTTGTATCATCTTGCAAATGTGTTCATGCTTTCCTTCTTTGAAACCCGTGATCTTTAAGCATTTTAAATTTGATTGTGGATATTCTGTTAGAGATGCATATTTTATCCGCTTCGGTTTTAGTTCGAACTCTTTGTTTCGTAAGCGATTTCTAACTTCTACTTTCACTTTATGGTATTATTCGTTTTCCGGTTTTTGTTGAACAGCTTCGAAAGGATTTGCCCAATCCACGTGGCGCAATGTCATTTGGCTCATCGAATGAAGCAATTCCACATGACGTCATAAATCCTCCCCATTATAGACATACTCAACTTCAAAGCTATTCGTTTCAGAATGTGTGTAATGGTGACCACAGTACGGAAATTCCATCGGTAATACTATTGAATCACTTTATATCTCTTCGTCCACTGATCAGACTAGCCGGCGACTTGAAAGAGCTATTAAGTCACAGTAATGGGAAGATCTTACTTGTACATTTGTGTACCATGTACCGAAAACATTTTGGTGTTCCGTTGAAACCAGAGAATTATAATTACCGATCGTTGGTAACCTTGTTAAAAGCGATGGATTTTGTGGTTTCAATAAGAGGTCGTGGTCTTCAGTGCACAGTGTGTCTATGCGAGGACTTTATAGGTGAGTCTGTATGTTTGCAGTAATTTTTGTAGACATTATTCATAGTCCCAGTTGTTTACATTTATTTCAGTGTAATGACTGACTGGCTTCGACATCCTTATCCATGTCACCTGTATTTGAAACGATGCAGCTCAGGCGATTAGGAGGACAATTCGCTTCAGTCACCCTCTCTCGCTAGTGATTTGTGTCTGTTAATCTTGAATCGATATCTCTATAATATCCATCGTTTCTGTGTTCATCCGATGTCCTGTATTCACTGCCTCTTCTGACGGCTTGTTGGTCTTTGTTTGTATATCTCTTAGTTCTGACCTGAATTCTCTACAATATTTACTTACATCTTCCATTGTCATTACTAGGGTCCACCGTATACCTGTTTTCTCGCTTCCTTGAGGTGTACTATGTGATCCAGTTCATTGTAATGAAGAAGACCACTGGTGACCCTAGACAGACATGTTGTATCACTGAGAAAGCTGTGATGAGCTTCATTTGTGGATCACTTGGCATTTGGCATCAATATGTAGTTGCTGGACGAGGTTGATGGAAGTTTGTGGCACTTCACTCCTGAGTGTTGAGTTAGTGGCTAAATTACTTCGTGGTTGATGCTGGTGTCGAGGGCCCCTTTACTGCACTGTTCCATTTTTTGCCTCACCATCTTTCTCTTCTCTTCCACCTTCTAGATATCCAGGATAAGCCATTTGGTGTCTTACTTATTCTTCTTCTTGTTCAAGATATCTATGTTGGTTTTCTTTCACTTCGCTTTCAGAAAGTCCCACTGTTGTTCCACTCAGGTATCCTCGTGACATTGCTAAGTATCTGTGATGTTCCCTGAAGTGAAGGTATTCTGCATGACTTCACTCTTCAGTTTGTGTGTGTTGGACTTGGACTCTGGCTTGTCGATAGCTTCTATGAAGGCATCAAAAGTGATCTGAAAGGTTTCTTGTACAAGACAGTGAGGGATCTGAGCCTGCACCTGCTCCCCTTCTCTATCTTGTGTCCAGTAGATGGAGATGATATTCATCTGAGCTTTAGTACGTCCACGTAGGTAAACTCAGTTTGTATTGTGGATATCCTTGTGCTTGTACACACTCCCTCTGATGAGCGATTTGTTGAAGTCACAGGTGTTTGCAAACAGCTCCTCGTTCTCATTCATTTCATCAGGTACCTGTAGACTCATGATGTGTCGTTCTCTTGTGTTGTCTGCTCCCAGTTTGGCGTTCAAATCACCCACTAGGATTTTGATGTCGCCATTTCTGATAGTGGCTTTGTGCATTCGTGCTTGCAGCTGTTTGTGTGTAGATTCTTTCTACTGCTTTTTCTTCTCCTTCACTGGGTCTGCGTTGTTTGTAGGCGAGTATCATTGTAGAATTGTGATTATCCTGACATTTAGAGCGGCATCTTGCTGTCATGATCCTGAAGGAGATCGATTTCCACTGCATGGTAGTGTGGTGTGCTGTTGGTGACGTGGTGATAGTCATGCCGTCAGTATGACAGTGGTTGTCGTCTGGATGACCGGAGTAGATTACTATCTTTCCAGTCAACGATTTGGACAGTCCACATACACGCATTCCATCTGCTGTCATAGACCACTAACACGTCTGTAAGGCACCTTTTCTCTTCCTTGTACGATCTGAGCAGCTTTGCCAACCACGAACGTGAAATGGGCATCCCATGTGACTATGTATACTTTCGCCTTCGTCTAAAGAAGAGGCACCGGTCGAGTTGCTTATCAATGGCCTTCAACTGCCAGTAGCGAGAATGGTGTTGTTTCATGGGATAGGGTTGCCAGTGCGTCATTCGACTGTCTCTGAGTTCCACTTGGATGGCGAGGCGTAGGCTGACTCACTTAATGAAGCTATACCTGTCACAGAAGCAGCATATAGAATGGTGGACAATACGATAGTTATTATCATTGGCAGTGTTATTGTTAGCGAGAAACGAGGATGAATAAACCATTGGTGGTACATTTTATTCTTCTTATTTGGAGAGAAGTGTAGCACTGAACCTGACAAACAAAGCCAAGCGAAGTTTGAATTCAACAGTATCTGCTTCTTTTGATCTGGTTCACGTGTACCCTAACAAAGCACACATGGTTCGAAGTCATAGAAAGAGTCTGGTTGAATAGTTTGTCAAGCTTAAACGCACTTCATTTGCTTTGTGGAGCCAATCGATGGCTTAGTTACTGTTGTTCTGACGAGAACAAACGAAGTTTAAGACCATTTTTGGAATTTAGGGTAAATGTGAATGCAGAGACTTTCAATGAATTACATATTTTTATGCAGAAATATGAGGGCTTTCGACGACAGTAACTCGTGGAGTTTTCTCTTTCATCTTTCAGGAAGATTATCATACCGAGTCGCATACAATACAAAGCCGAAATTTAAGGATCCCAGAAACCCGCTTTCTTCACACGAAAACGAGCTGGAAACTCTCAAACTTTTGTTCAACCCTGAATCCGTTTTTAGTGGAAAACTGCCGATGTCATCACCACACATGTTGTGTTTACCCCTTCGGCCCTCTCGTTCTTCAACGCCTAAATCCGAAATGTTGTACACGCCGACTCAATGTTATAACGAGCCAGCGAAACCAAGTTCAGAAGAATTATTGCATGAGAACAATTCCGTTGGTGCTGTTTGCTGCAATGAAATGGCCGATTCCAAAGAATTATTTTATAGCGGAATTATTCACCCTTCATCATCCCGATCGTTTGCGTATCGACTTCCTTATGCTCATTATTCTTTGAGCACTTCCGGTCAAACTGGTTCTTTCACAATGGCGTCAGGTTTGAGTTCATCACAATATGGTCACTACCACTTCTCACCAGCCCCTCCGAATAGAATACGACACTTTCTAGTTGCGCGCACAAACTTCGTTGGCCATGTGGATCCGAGTTCTCAAAGTGCAATCCCTTTTCCACCTAATCGAACAAGGTATGCATATAATGGAAAGCAGCACCTGCCAGATTGTCATCCACCTCCCTTTAGTGCATTCAATTCTACCACCAATGGCTCTCAAACACACTATCCTACTTTCACAATCTTACCACCTAATCAAACATCAAGTAGAAATTTTGTGGTACCTACTAGTGCACCAACGATCTCAAACATTCCATATGCAGTACTTCCATCACCTCAGTTTTATCCTCTTGGTGTAGATATGACTTATCCGGCTCCACTCAGTCAAGCGAATCATCACCAAACCAACCCTCAATATACCGGGCTAGAATTCACTAATCAACAGGTGGCTGGTACGGATCTGAATGTCAATTCGATTTATCCAGCCAAACAATTTATCCAAAGTTGTTTATGTCCGGAGAAATCTTCGAACATCCTAACTCCTTTTACTGCACCAGTCAAGTCGATTTCGTTGTCTACTTCCCAACAGCGGTTGGATGAGCTCGTTGAAAGACTGGCCTACGGTAATTTACACAGTGGAGTGAATTTAGTTAACAGCAGATCTGACCGCTTACATGATGAATTGAAAATTACTAACATGGTGGTGGCTGCACAGAACGCTGAAACTGCCCATCCTTCAAATGTTTATCATACAACGAATATGGTAGATTGTACACAGCTTTTGTCAAACTGCTTCACTCTATCAACATCTAACAACTCTTATTCACGGATAGATCCTTTTGCAAATAATGCATTACAGTATTCTTCAATTCACAACCGAAATATACCCACTAGTCAACCTGGAGTGGTTAAGCTTCCAACGAATAACTCCTGTATGTTTTATAATACCGAGTGCGCGAATATACCTGTTACCGGTTGGAACCAAACGGCCAGTTCTTCTTGCAGATATTTCACTGGAGAGTGTTCAAAAGGACAGATAACCGGTGTTGTGAATTCTAATGGTGGCGTCAAATGGCCAATTCCAATGGGACCAAGTTCTCAGGCTAATCAGTTACTATCTCACGATGAACATAAGAATATGCAGAACTTATTGCCTAATAAATTCACTGAAGAAAAAATTCTGACATCAAGTAATTCTTCAGCTGGATTCCTAGACGGAAAGCAGTCTGCGATTACGGAAGATCCCTTTTTATCTGAAAGTGACCAACTTCATAGAGCAAGTTCTACTGTTCATTGTTTCAATCAACCTGTGGACTATATACAAAATCACACAAATACCCTTGCTCAAAGGAATTACTTTCAGAATAATAACGACACACAGCGAATGAAGTTATCACAACAGCTGTCATCACATACCACTGGTTTAGCAAGTGCGTTTTCACTTCAATGACGTTTATATGATGAGTAAGAAAGCTACACTCCTACAGAATGTCCTGAACAAAGAAAGACGAATCAAAACAACAAGGTGCGACGACTTTTATCGTAAAACTACTTAATTGGTATCTTTCTTCAATATATGTACATATATACGTATATAAACAAAGAATTACATGCGAAGTTTAATTCAGATACTGAATACAGACACTTCTCGGTGTCAGTAGTATGCATATGACACAGATAATTATCTACAGTCATTTGAAGTTATATAGTATTTGCCTGCGCATAACATCATTGAGGAAGTGAAATGGACAGTAAACAGTCATCTACACGTTTGCTGAAATATTTCTTCTCACAAAGTTGTTTAATTCTACTGCTGTTTGTTATGCAGAACATGCGCACCACTTGTTATCTGCTCTTAATAGAACGTATTGTTTCTATCGCTGATTTAAAAAAGTACGTTTGCTTTTCTATTGTGCAGTAATCCTACCATGATATTACTCATGATCCATAGTAGGATGTGTTACAGCAGTGATAATGGAAGTCAGTTACCCTCAGGATTACTTGTACTGCTTGGATCAAAGAGGACATGCCATTTTCTCAATTCATTATAATTATTAATGGCGAATTGATGACTATTTTTCCTTCTAACTGTGTACAGGAGTTTTGGCTAAAAAACTAAAGTGACAATAATAATAATAACAGTGTCAATTGTGCTAGATTGTGCTGTTTTGCGTTAAAGTCTCATGGTTGGTAATGATAATCTCTGTATGCAGTGTTGTGATTGACTGAAGTGTGATTGAAGTCTGAACTCCTCTTCTCTGCAGAAGTTCACTAGAACAGTAAGAGGATGCGTTTTCACGGAACATGTGCATAGATTTCACCAATGAATGGATCAGTAGATCATTATGCTGTGTTATTTAATATCTTGAACTGTCTACCGAGACGTTTAATCGCAATGGGTTCGATTATGACTACAGTGTTGACGAATTTTCTAATTGAAGTGAGCAGGAGACTTTGTAGAAGGAGAGGGTGTCGTTGGTATTTTTGTGATTGGGATTTCGACTAATTTCGATTGAGTGGGAGCACATCATCTGTGTCGTGGGCCTTTCTGATGAGACATCAGTTATTATCTAACAAGCAGTGCTACTCCAATGTCTGGTATTTCCAGCTACTGGTATTTATACGAAGTTATTATATATGCGAACGAGTATAATGTAGTCATATAGTTATAACTGTCTTACACGTATCAGTATTAGTCTTTTCTGGTCAGTGCTTTGGGGTTTCATAAAGCATGGCAATTGCCACCGAATTATGAAGTAGCATACTGATATAACCATAGTAACTTTATTGTTGGAGTGATACAATGAGAGCAAATTCTAAGGAATAGTGTGGATTCGTATTATTTTTTAGGATTTTCATCAGATCTACTGAACTTCATACCAATCTCAGTACTAACTAGTGGGGATGAAGCGGGAATTACAAATGTATCAGGACAGTATGAGCTGATATTTTATTATTCCACAATTTGAACGCATTTATTTCTGATAAGAAGTAATAATTAATGGGGACTGTGAGTACCTCTATTCCGAAGTGATGTATGTTGTCAGACTATTTATGGCTAAGGGGACAATTCCACGAACACTTCAGAATAAGACAGAGTCTAGAAGAAGAAGAGCGTTTAAATAGGAAGAGAATATCCATACAGTAGGGTACGCAACTGCGGAAAATGAGCTTTTATAAAATGGCACGAATGGAGTAAGTTGAGTGACTTTCAGATGAAACAGTACAATTGTCTAAACAGAATGGGAGACGTAGAAGAATACATGATGTAGTAAAAATGTTATAGCTTTGTTCTGTAAGCCTAATCACCAAAGAAGTTTAAGATTCACCCTGTTTCTCTAGGCCTATGTTAGTGGTTGTCTGAGTGAAATGTAGCAAGCTATATTTCTTCTGCCTGTTGATTATTTTGAACGCTTTCAGACTGTCTGCAGTGTGGGTCTCAGTAGCAATTGCTCCTCGTGATAACATATCTGTCCAGAATCTTATGCACTTGTTCCAGAAGGAGCGGTAATCTTCCACCAACCTTTTTTATCCATGGCTTATGGCTATATGTTCTGTTTGAGTCAGTTGTTGATTTGGTGGTTCTGCAGGTTGTCATGTTAGTCAGTGTATCTCCCTGTTTGAAATTAGAGCTGATCAGGTAGAGGTGGTTATCTGAACTCGATTGTAGAAAACTATTTCTGTCATCGGTTCATCGGCTTGGGACTCCATATGTGTCAACAATGTACTTTACTGAACGTTTTACTTTTAGCAGCAATACAGACAGCCTTTGACAAAACTCACCCTCTACTCCCTCAAATCGTAGTCTGTTGTGTCACAAGCGGACATTATGGAATGGCATAAATGGGTGTCACAATTTTCGCTCCTTATAAGGCGTACGTTGAGCAGAACACTACACTTATGACTACCCATCGGAATCGAGTCAAGTAGGAAGTTTTCTGCTGTAGTACTTAATGCTATCCCTACAACAGCAACTCACATAACGTGAGTTTTGTGAATTCAACGTGTTGACCAGGTGTGGTTAATCTAATAACCACACTTAGGTCTTGCATGTGCGTCTCCAAAACTTAACATACATTCATTGCTGGAGATGCTGAAGTTCTGTCTAATGAAGCCGGTTGTCTGATTTGAGGAAGGGTCTCGATGTTAAATGCTTCCATAAGAATTTGGCGGTGTGGTTTTAACAGACCGTCACTAGTGTTTCTCTGGCTTTAGCCAGCATTAACAGTCGACGACTTTAGAGGAGGTGGTAGGTCCACCTAGTCAGTAGTAATAACAGTAGACGGGGGTCAGGAAGATGAAAGCACTTGATGTTTAGGAAATTACTGCGTGCTTATCGAAGTGTGTGGACTTTTATTGTTTCCCGGATGCTGAGACTGGAAGTTGACTTATTATTGAAATGACTGAAGTAGAAGCAGCATTAGTGTTGTGTGACTGTAGGGCCTATGGAGCAAACAGTCTGAGAACTGGTTTCCGGAGTTGTATATGTATTAAGGTCTTACGGCCTACTGCGGGTTACCACAAGGTGATTTGGTATGTTCAATTTTCTGGACCGATCTTTCCTGACCACAGCTTTCCAGAGTGGAGCGGCGGCATAATCAGCTTGCTGGTAGTTCGAGAGAAACGCCCAACCGTTGTTACATCTCTATTCGACCGAAATAGGACTTCGCCCGTAGACACCCCAACACAGCGTAAACGATAAACACTACGATGTTAACTGCTTTCAGTGTGATCACTATTCAAACGACCTTCTTGACGTCATCTGACCTTCGGCTCCAATATTATTAGCTCCAACCGATGTAGCTTATTGGATAATTAGAATGTGTCCGACTGCTACAGCAGTGCAGTAGCCTTGTAAGCTACCATACAGTTCCTCAGAACAGGCGGACTTACATGGCCCAATTATCCGCTGATAGAGGAGGGAATTCCGCCCTGACCGCATTTAACATGTTCTTCACTACTAGTCGAAAACATCTAACTTAGGAGATTGAATAAAGGTTTAGTCTTTGGAATGTTTGAATAGGCTGATCCACTTAAGTTTGTCTTACAAAAGGGAAACGGGTGTTCTTTTGTATCTACTATATCCAATTCTAACATAATAGTATCGTATTCAAGCCAAATCTGTACAAACAAACAGCAGATGGTTTTCATGCTGCAGACGACTTTTAGTGATTGGAATCCTGACAGTATTTTGAAGTCTGTTCCGATAAAAATATCTTAGTAACTTTTCATCCGTCTTGGCAGCCTTCGTAGCCGTCCATGAAGTTTGCATAGTGTCAGTCAGTGCATAAAAGAAAGCGATGTAACGCCTTCGAATATGTTCCTGAATTTCTCTCGGTCCCTCCAGTAGTCCAAACTGTATTAAGGGGACAGTCGACTTAGGCATCTGTATGCTTAAACGAACTGCCAACATTACTCTGTTAGTCATAACCAACCAAATTATTCCGAGTGATAATGCAGGAATATGTAGAATGCGTTTTCTACTTTTCAAACGCGAAATGTTGCTTCAGCATTACTCCACTTCGTGAAACTACAATATGAAAAGGAGTGAAGTGGTTAACCACGTTGATGTGTTTCGTTTTTATGTGGAGTTAGATTGCATGTTTTCACGTAATATCTAGTGAAATCGTGGCATGAGTACAAAAGCCTCCTCTGACTTTTCCAAATTGAAGTACTTGTGGAATGGTTGAGATAGAAGATATCGTCCATGAAAAGTGGGTGGGATGTGTGGTTCATCAGTGTGTCGTGTTTTACTGTATGACTGCAAATTGGATTTCAGGCATATCATCATTTTGGCACAAGTCGAAAGAGTGTTTGAACAAACAAGCTTCAGTAAGCGACGGTGTTGCAGAGTCACTACCTGTTGGTCTACGATGTGCACAGAAATGCTTGTTTCTGTTGTGGGTTTGAGAGTTAATGCTCAGACTCACTTTTATTTTCTGAACTTATCGTGTATTTTTAATTCTACCAGCTGTTTCTGTTTACCACCTTCCAAGTGTTAGTGTCTCCATAGTTTTGCTGAACAAAAGTAAAGGAATAGCAGAATCTGAACACCGAAGTGTGAATTAGAAATTTATTAAGAACAAAAAGTAACATTACTACTCCAATAAGAAACATTCAGAATGTTTGTGTACACAGTTCTGTGTTGAGAATTCAGTTGAGTTTGTGGCGGTCTAATTATTCTTCATCACACGTTTTGTACTTTACTTGTAAACTAGAAATCGTAGTATTATATAATACTTTGATAAAGCTATTGGCATTAAATAGAGAAACGTCAGTAAAAACAATATCGTTTTGTTTTTCATTCATTGGTAAATACAAAAACCTTTATGATAATAGAAATCGTAGTATATTACGCAATTAGAAGTTGAGAGGTAATTACATGGTATTGGTTTTATAATGCTCGTGATGAATTTATGTTAACCAGTTTAATTACAGTCAGGAAACTCT